ATATATATATATATATATATATATTAGTCACCTCTCAGGATCAAGATCCAAGCTGAATTTCATGACTATGGTTCAGAGTTCAAATCTTGGCGTTGAAAGGGATGAGAGAGTAAAAAATGAAAAATAAAAAAATGGAAAAGGGTGAGAGGGTAAATTTTGAAAAATAAAAAAGAGTATAATATAGATATAGACATTGAGCAATGCTTTACAAATTTCGCCACATAAACCTAAGAAAAAAAAGAAAAAAAAAACCAAAACCCTAGCCAACACTTTATGTTATGCTAAGAAAGATAAAAAGTACAATACTGGTCATACATTCATCAAAAGTTCGGGCAACAACAACATTTGCAATAAGTGGCAAGAAGTGATAAACTAAAAAGTATAATACTGTTCATACATTCATCAAATGGTCGAGCAGCAACAACATTTACAATAAGTAAGGTTTGAGCTGCTGCAACATTTATAATAAATGAGATAAAGTGCTCCCTATCTAATCTACTTATATCCAAAATTACAGAAGTATTCCTCAAGATCTAACCAATAATGCCAATAACTATATCAAAATCAAATTTAGACTTGACCCCACAATAACATTAAAATCCAAAAACATTAAAAAAACTCAAATGATCAACAATCTATATGTATCATTTTTGTTTCAAGCAAAAACTTTTCAAAGATGAATCAAAATGCTTTGAAATAGAAAGACGATTTTCCGATATTTTACTTGGCAATATACTTTTCTTTAAAAATCAAATATTTCAACTAATTGTCTTCATGCTCTCGTACAAGCCGATCCTTTTCAAAACCTTCATAGCTATATTTGTGAGAAAATCTGGAATCTTGTCGTATTCCCTATATTCAAGATTGAACACAGCCTTCAGTATCCTTCAACTCTAAATAGATCTGAGCAAATGAACTATGTAAAAATGGAAAGATCTCCTCAACACCATTCTCTGCTTTTGTTAACCTAAGATTACCACAAATCAAATCGATGACATTAGCCTCTCTCCCCATAATAAGCTACATGAATCCCCATATACCTTTATCATTTCCAAATTTCTTCTCTCTCTAATAACTTGAAGAAGGGCCTCAGCCTCTTGAAGACAAACAAAATTTGCCCAAGTCATTTTTGGCTTTGTATTTTCATCCAAAGTCAGCTTCTTATTTCCAGCAAATGCGACGAAAATTTATCCACATTCATTGTAATAAGTTCCTCCTCTAGCAATATAGGATTCATTTATTGGACTTGTAATGAAATTGTCCTTAGTAGCCACAGATGCATCAGATCGAATTCCACCATAATTTTTGAAAATTGGATCCGGAGGAATCCTTATAAAATGACCTTTCTCACAATTCACCCGATCTACAGCACATTTTCTTTTCTGCCATACAACAAAGAAAGTTCTCCATTTTTGAATTTGTTGTTTGCATGCATCCAATCAGGTACTGATTAGAGCTTATAGGAAATTGAGCACAAGAGAAAGGAACAGTTGTTCAACATCTTGTTTGTGATACTTCTCAAAAGTGCTATACGGAGAGGCGTCACCATATAATAGTAGCAAATTTACAATCAATATCAATTTTATAATTAATATTAATAAAACTTCAAGTAAGGTAAAAAAAGAAAAATAATCTTACCATTGCAATACCCTTTGGAGGAAGGCCTTTAAGTTTACTACTAAATTTCCTAGCAGCTTCAAGGAAGTCAAGAGACAAATTTCGTCCATATTTTGACATTTTCTATCTCGCCAACAAGAACCAAAAGTATATATATATATATAAGTCACCTCTGAGGGTCATGATCCAAGCCGAATTTTATGACTATGGTTCAGAGTTCGAACCTTGGCGTTGATAGGGATGAGAGGGGGAAAAATAAAAAATAAAAAAATGGAAAGGGGTGAGAGGGTAAATATTGAAAAATAAAAAAGAGTATACATATAGATATATACATTAAGAAATGCTTTATAAATTTCGCCACATAAACCTAAGAAGAAAAACGAAAAATAAAATGAGAACCCAAAAACCTGGCCAATACTTAGTGTTATGCGAAAAAAGGTAGAAAGTAAAATACTGTCCATACATTTATCAAAGGTTCGGGCAACAACAACATTTACAATAAGTGACAACAAGTGATAAACTAAAAAGTATAATACTGTACATACATTTATCAAAGGTTCGAGCAGCAGCAACATTTACAGTAAGTGAGATTAGAGCAACTGCAACATTTACAATAAGTAAGATAAAGTGCTCTCTATCTAATATGCTTATACCCAAAATTACAGAAGTATTCCTCAAGACCTAACCAATAATGCCAATAACTACATCAAAATCAAATTTAGACTTGACCCCATAATAACATTAAAATCCAAAAACATTAAAAAAACTCAAATGATCAACAATCTATATGTATCATTTCTGTTTCATGCAAAATCTTTTCAAAGATGAATCAAAATGCTTCGAAATAGAAAGACGATTTTCCGATATTTTACTTGGCAATATACTTCTCTTTAAAAATAAAATATTCCAACTAGTTGTCTTCATGTTTTCGTACTAGCAGATCCCTCTCAAAACCTTCATAGCTATATTTGCGAGAAAACTAGAATCTTGTCCCGTTCCCGATATTCATGATTGAACACATAACCTTCAGTACCCTTTAACTCTAAATAGATCTGAGCAAATGAACTATGCAAAAATAGAAAGATCTCCTCAACACTATTCTCTACCTTTGCTAACCTAAGATTATCACAAATCAAATCGGTGACATTAGCCTCTCTCCCCATAATAAGCTGCATGAATCCTCATAAACCTTCATCATTTCAAGATTTCTTCTCTCTCTAATAATTAACTTGAAGAAGGGTTTCAGCCTCTTGAAGACAAATAAAATTTGCCCAAGTCATTTTTGGCTTTGTATTTTCATCCAAAATCAGCTTCTTATTTCCAGCAAATGTGAAGAAAATTCATCCACCTTCACTGTAATAAGCTCCCCCTCTACCAATATGGGATTCATTTATTGGACTTGTAATGAAATTGTCCTTAGTAGCCACAGATGCATCAAATCGAATTCTCCCATAATTTCTGAAAATTGGATCCGTAGGAATCCTTATAAAATGACCTTTCTCACAATTCACCCGATCTACAACATACATCTTCTTTTCTGTCATACAACAAAGAAAGTTCATCATTGTTGAGTTTGTTGTTTGCATGCATCCAGTCGCGTACTCAATAGAGCTTATAGGAAATTAAGCACATGAGGAAGGAATAGTTGTTCAACATCTTGTTTGTGATACCTCACTATATAATAGTAGCAAATTTACAATCAGTATCAATTTCAAAATTAATATGAGTAAAACTTCAAGTAAGGTAAAAAAAGAAAAATAATCTTATCATTGCAATGCCCTTTGTAGGAAGACCTCTAAGCTTACTACTAAATTTCCTAGCAGCTTCAAGGAAGTCAGAAGATAAAATTCGTCTATATATTAACATTTTTTACCTCGCCTACAAGAATCAAAAGTATATATATATATATTAGTCACCTCTCAGGGTCAAGATCTAAATCGAATTTTATGACTACGGCTTAAAGTTCAAATCTTGGCATTGAACGGGATGAGAGGGCATAAAAAATAAAAAAAATGGAAAAGGGTGAGAGGGTAAATATTGAAAAATAAAAAAGTGTATACATATAGATATATATATTGAGCAATGCATTATAAATTCCACCACATAAACCTAGGAAAAAAAAGAAAAAGAAAAAGAAAACCACCAAAAAACCAAGCTAATACTTAGTGTTATGCTCAAAAAGATAAAAAGTGCAATACTGTTCATACATTCATCAAAAGTTTGGGCAACAGCAACATTTACAATAAGTGACAAGAAGTGATAAACTAAAAAGTACAATACTATTCATACATTCATCAAATGTTCGAGCAGCATCAACATTTACAATAAATAAGGTTTGAGTAGCTGCAACATTTACAATAAATGAGATAAAGTGCTCCCTATCTAATCAACTTATACCAAAAATTATAGAAGTATTCCACAAGATCTAACCAATAATGCCAATAACTATATCACAATCAAATTTAAACATAACCCCACAATAACATTAAAATCCAAAAACATTAAAAAAACACAAATGATCAACAATCTATATGTATTATTTCTGTTTCATGCAAAAGTTTTTCAAAGATCAATCAAAATGCGTTGAAACAGAAAGATGGTTTTTCGATATTTTACTTGGCAATATATTTCACTTTAAAAATCAAATATTCCAACTAGTTGTCTTCATGTTCTCGTAAAAGCCGATCCCTCTCAAAACCTTCATAGCTATATTTGCGAGAAAATGTGGAATCTTGTCCTGTTCCCTATATTTATGATTGAAGACATTGCCTTCTATATCCTTCAACTCTAAATAGATCTGAGCAAATGAATTATGTAAAAATGGAAAGATCTCCTCAACACTGTTCTCTATCTTTGCTAACCTAAGGTTACAACAAATCAAATCGGTGACATTAGCCTCTCTCCCCATAATAAGCTGCATGAATCCTCATAATCCTTTATCATTTCAAGATTTCTTCTCTCTCTAATAACTTGAAGAAGGGTCTCAGCCTCTTGAAGACAAACAAAATTTGTCCAAGTCATTTTTGGCTTTGTATTTTCATCCAAAGTCAGCTTCTTATTTCCAGCAAATGCGAAGAAAATTTATCCACCTTCATTGTAATAAGCTCCCCCTCTACCAATACAGGATTCATTAGCCACAGATGCATCATACCGAATTCCCCCATAATTTTAGAAAATTGGATCCGGTGGAATCCTTATAAACTGACTGTTCTAACAATTCACCCGATCTACAACCAGGGACGGAGCCAGAAATTTATTTTTGGGGGGCTGAAGTGTATTAAAAATTTTTTTTGTGACGAAATAAATATATTTAATAAGTAAAATTTAGAATCAATAATTATAAAAATAATAAAAACATATAATTATACATACCCAAAAATTTGTTATTGATTAACACTTGAAGTATTGGTAGTTGTTGCACTCGAATAACGAAGAGGAGGCAATTGCATTCTGCGAGTCTTCATCCGTTGAAAACGCTGCAATATTTGCTCATTTTCAATTGTTGCAAAAATATCCTTCTCGATGTATATAACCAGACAGTCATTCATCCACTCGTCTCCCATTTTGTTGCGCAAATCAGTCTTGACAATACTCATTGCAGAAAATACTCTTTCAACAGAAGCAGTCGCAACTGGTAGAACTAATGCCAACTGGATCAGACGATAAACCAATGGAAAAACTGTATTTTTACCAGTTTTAACCATTTGTTGAGCAAGACTTCCCAAATCTCCAACTTCTGAAAATTGAGGATCGCGTTGCACATTATAAATATAATTTCGAAGTTGAGACTCAAGATATAAATAATCGTTACTTGAGAAGTCTTCAGGATATAAATCAGCAAGACGGAGTAGTTTCTGCACATTGAATTGAGAGAAAGAACTTTTTGGATCAAGACATGCTATGCAACTAAGCAATTACGTGCTAACTTCCGAGAAACGATTATTCATCTCTTGTATAATTAAATCAACAACCTGACATCACAACAATAATAAAATTAATAACTAAGAAAATCTGCTAACAAGTAACAAATGTAATGAAATAATAATTTCAAAAATAATACCTCACAAAAAATTTTCACGCGATAATGATGAAAATTAGTGATGGTTTGACCTCTGCGACTGCGCCTGGCATTGCCACGGATTGCTATACTGTCTTCCATATCAATCACGGGAATCATATTCAACTCACAAAAATTGTTGACTTCATCTAAAATTATTTGCCATCCCTCTTCCCTAAAGTCTTGCAATTGAGATTTCATAGTATCAATCAAACTCATGGCTTGGACAATATTTTGATCCCTTTGTTGCAAAACAAGTGACAAGTCATTTGTGATTCCCAATAAATACTTCATCAGGTGCAATGCAAAAACAAACTCATAATCATTCATTCTATCAATCAAACCCCTGGCCATACCTCTATTGTCAGAAGTGGTGGCATCATCTTGTATATTTCCCAATATTCCAATCACCGAAGCCCACATAGAGGATAGACGAAGTAATGTTAGATAGTGTGATCCCCAACGAGTATCCCCTGGTCTTGCTAAACTAGTTTCTTGATTTTTGCCTTTTCCACTAATAATATCTCCACTGTCTAAAAGTGTAACAATCTTATCATGTTCTATTTGTCTTAATTGATCTCTCCTTTTACATGATGCTCCAGTTAAATTGACAATCATAGAGACATAGACAAAGAATTCACTGACAATGATATTTCCCTTAGCAACAGCAACAATAACTAACTGGAGTTGGTGAGCAAAACAGTGAATATACATCGCATAGGGATTTTCTTGTAATATAAGGGCCTTCAAACCATTGAACTCACCTCGCATATTTGAAGCTCCATCATATCCTTGACCTCTCAATTTGGATAATGATAATCCGTGTTGCGCGAATAAAGAATCAATTGCATCTTTCAAACAAAGAGATGTGGTGTCAGACACATGTACAATTGCAAGGAAACGTTCAATCACACGCCCTTCTTTGTTCACATATCTCAAAACAACTCCCATTTGCTCTTTCACTGAACTGTCTCGAGACTCATCAACTATTAGGGAAAAATAATTGTCTCCAATATCATTGATTATAACACTTGTGATCTCTGAGGCACAAGCATGTGCCAGATCTTTTTGAATCATTGGAGAAGTTAGTTGATTATTTGCAGGAGCATTTTGATTTACAACCTCAAAAATCTCAGTATTTCGCTGGCTATACCACTCAAACAATTCAAGAAAATTGCCTCTATTTGAAGAACTAGTTGACTCATCATTTCCACGAAAAGCCAATCCTTGCTTCAAAAGAAAGCGGGTCACATCCAGAGCAGCAGTTAAACGGGTGCGATATGCAATATCTATTTCGCGCCCACAAGATCGTAGCACATTTGACACACTATGCCTTTGATCTTGAAAACTTTCAAACTGTATTCTAGCATCATTATGGCAACTATTCACAGCTCCAATATGTTCATTAAATCTTTCCATTGCCTTTTTCCAATTATTGAATCCCGTTTTTGTAAAGGCATCCTCTGCATATCGACCTCCCTTATTTTGTGTTTTGAAAAGAAAGCACCAAAAGCAAAACGCCGCATCTTTCGATATGCTATACTCTAACCATACAAACTTTTGATACCAACTATCTTGGAAACTTCTATGTTGTTTACCAAATGATGTTTTTGGATACATATGGCCAATCGGTTGGCAAGGTCCCCTAGTCAAATACTCTCTTCGGACATGGTCTCGAAGAGAAATATCAAATTTCTCAACTGATTTTCGTAATCCCGGATCACTAACAATATCATTTAAATTCAATTCCACACAAGATTGATTTTGAACTGGTTCACTAATATTAGGCTCATTTGAAGATTCACCACTACGGACTCGTTTAGGTTTAAAGAATCTCTCCATTTTCTGTCACAATTAAATAATTGTGGTTAAATTCAATAAAATTATGCAATTCAATAATCAATTAATTTAAAATTCATATAAATAATTCTTTAATTTAATAATAAATTCATATTACTTATATTTCTCAATTTATAAAATTCATTATATAAAATTATCAAAAAGTTAAAATAAGGTACAACTAAATACCCATATAATCTCTAATTCAATCTCATAAAATTTTGAATTTATATTTACATTCAAAATTTCTAATTCACATAATTAATTCTTAAAATTTCAAATATAAAACTAACAAAATTTTAAAAACTAAATACAACCTAAAATCTATACAATTTCTAAACTAATTTCTAATTTAAATTTAATATCATTAAATTTTTTAATGTAATCTTTCAAATTCTTAAATTACATTAATATAAACTAAATAAAAATTAATCTTAATCAAATTAATATCAAGATACTCAAAATTCAAAAATAATTTAAACATATAATTAACAAAAATATAAAGATGAATATTGTAATTTAAACCAAAAAACTAACCTAAAAGATTTATGTGAATGGAATGGTGGAGAGTTGGAGTCTTGGAGCCTTGAATTGAAGGCTTGAAGCAGGATGGTAGAATCTCAACTGAAGCTTCTTGGAGTTCTTGGAGCCTGGCGTCTTCTTCTTGGAGTTGGAGTCTTGTTTGCCCTTTGGCACTGGCGGCGTGCTTTTGCATGTATTTTTTTTCCCCTCATTATACAAAACGACGTCGTTCCACTAAAAGTGAAACGACGTCGTTTTGTATTTAGAGGGCAAAAAAAAAAATTCAAAATGAAATGGGTCATCTTCTTCCTCAGCAGTCAGCACGGCAGCGGCTTTCCAGCTCTTCTTCACTTCCTCTGCAGCATTCATGGAGCCATGGAGGATGGTAGATCTGGATCACCGTGGGGGGGCTGGGCTGGCCGCCGGAATCCCCTATATATAAGGGGTTTTCCGGCGGCTTGGTGGGGGCTTAAGCCCCCACCAGCCCCCCCTTAAATCCGTGGCTGTCTACAACACACATCTTATTTTCTGTCATACAACAAAGAAAGTTCTCCATTTTTGAGTTTGTTGTTTGCATGCATCCAGTCGTGTACTCATTAGAGCTTATAGGAAATTGAGTGCATGAGGAAGGAGCAGTTGTTCAATATCGTGTTTCTGATATTTCTCAAAAATCCTATACAAGGAGGTCTAATTATATAATTGTAGCAAAATTACAATCAATATCAATTTCATAATTAAAATAAATAAAACTTCAAATAAGGTAAAAAAAAAAAAACTTACCATTGCAATGCCCTTTGTAAGAAGACCTCTAAACTTACTACTAAATTTCCTAGCAGCTTCAAGGAAGTCAGAAGACAAAATTCGTCCATATTTTGACATTTTTTATCTCGCTTATAAGAACTAAAAGTATATATATATATATATATATATTAGTCACCTCTAAGGGTCAAGATCCAAGCCAAATTTTATGACTATGGTTGAGAGTTCAAATCTTGGCATTGAAAAGGATGAGAGGGTAAAAAATGAAAAATAAAAAAAAATGGAAAGGGGTGAGAGGGTAAATATTGAAAAATAAAAATGAATATACACATAGATATATACATTGAGCAATGCTTTATAAATTCCGCCACATAAATCTAAGAAAAAAAAGAAAAAGAAAAATAAAATCCAAAAACCTAGCCAATACTTAGTGTTATGCTAAGAAAGATAAAAAGAGCAATACTTTTCATACATTCATCAAAGGTTCGGGCAACAGCAATATTTACAATAAGTGACAACAAGTGATAAACTAAAAAGTACAATACTGTTCATACATTCATCAAAGGTTCGAACAGCAACAACATTTACAATAAGTGAGGTTTGAGCAGCTGCAACATTTACAATAAGTGAGATAAAGTGCTCCCTATCTAATCTATTTATACTCAAAATTACGGAAGTATTCCTTAAGACCTAACCAATAATGCCAATAACTATATCAAAATAAAATTTAGACTTGATCCCACAATAACATTAAAATCTAAAAACATAAAAAAAACTCAAATGATCAACAATCTATATGAATCATTTCTATTTCATGCAAAAACTTTTCAAAGATGAATCAGAATGTTTTGAATTAGAAAGAAGATTTTCCGATATTTTACTTGGCAATATACTTCTCTTTAAAAATCAAATATTCCAACTTGTTGTCTTCATGTTCTCGTACAAGTAGATCCTTTTCAAAACCTTCATAGCTATATTTACGAGAAATCTGGAATCTTGTCCCGTTCCCTATATTCATGATCGAACACATAGTCTCAGTATCCTTTAACCCTAAATAGATCTGAGCAAATGAACTATACAAAAATGGAAAGATCTCCTCAACACCATTCTCTATCTTTGCTAACCTTAGGTTACCACAAATCAAATCGGTGACATTAGCCTCTCTCCCCATAATAAGCTGCATGAATCCTCATAAACCCTTATCATTTCAAGATTTCTTCTCTCTCTAATAACATGAGGAAGGGCCTCAGTCTCTTGAGGACAAACAAAATTTACCTAAGTCATTTTTGGCTTTGTATTTTCATCCAAAGTCAACTTCTCATTTCCAGCAAATGCGAAGAAAATTTATCCACCTTCATTGTAATAAGCTCCCCCTCTACCAATATAGCAATCATTTATCGGACTTGTAATAAAATTGTCCCTAGTAGCCACAGATGATGCATCAGATCGAATTTCCCCATAATTTCTGAAAATTGGATCCGTAGGAATCCTTATAAAATGACATTTCTCACAATTCACCCGATCTACAACACACATCTTATTTTCTGCCATAAAACAAAGAAAGTTCTTCATTTTTGAATTTGTTGTTTGCATGCATTCAGTCGTGTAGTCATTAGAGCTTATAGGAAATTGAGCGCATGAGGACGGAACAATTGTTCAACATCATGTTTGTGATACTTCTCAAAAGTGCTATACAGAGAGGCCTCACTATATAATGGTAGCAAATTTACAATCAATATCAATTTCATAATTAATATTAATAAAACTTCAAGTAAGGTAAAAAAAGAAAAATAACCTTACCATTGCAAAGCCCTTTGTAGGAAGACCTCTAAGCTTACTACTAAATTTTCTAGCAGCTTCAAAGAAGCCAGGAGACAAGATTCGTCCATATTTTGACATTTTCTACCTCGCCAACACGAACAAAAAGTACATATATATATGTATATTAGTCATTTTTCAGGGTCAAGATCCAAGCCGAATTTTATGACTATGGCTCAGAGTTCAAATCTTGGCATTGAAAGGGATGAGAGGATAAAAAATGAAAAATAAAAAAAATGGATAGGTGTGAGAGGGTAAATATTGAAAAATAGAAAAGAATATACATATAGATATATAAATTGAGCAAAGCTTTATAAATTCCGCCACATAAACCTAAGAAAAAAAAGAAAAAGAAAAAGAAAATAAAAAAACCTAGCCAATACTTAGTGTTACGCTAAGAAAGATAAAAAGTGCAATACTGTTAATACATTCATCAAAGGTTCGGACAACAGCAACATTTACAATAAGTGACAAGAAGTGATAAACTAAAAAGTACAACACTGTTAATACATTCATCAAATGTTCGAGCAGCAGCAACATATACAATAAGTAAGGTTTGAACAGCTGCAACATTTACAATAAATGAGATAAAATGCTCCCTATCTATTCTACTTGTATTCAAAATTAAAGAAGTATTGCTCAAGATCTAACAAATAATACCAATAACTATATCAAAATCAAATTTATACTTGACCCCACAATAACATTAAAATTCAAAAACATTAAAAAAAATCAAATGATCAACAATCTATATGTATCATTTCTGTTTCATGCAAAAACTTTTCAAAGATGAATCAAAATACTTTGAAATAGAAAGACGATTATTCGATATTTTACTTGGCAATATACTTCTCTTTAAAAATCAAATATTCCAACTAGTTGTCTTTATGTTCTCGTACAAGTCGATCCCTCTCAAAACCTTCATAGCTATATTTGCGAGAAAATGTGGAATCTTGTCTTGTTCCTTATTTTATGATTGAAGACATTGCCTTCTGTAACCTTCAACCCTAAATAGATCTAAGCAAATGAATTATGCAAGAATGGAAAGATCTCCTCAACACTATTCTCTATCTTTGCTAACCTAAGGTTACCACAAATCAAATCGGTGACATTAGCCTCTCTCCCCATAATAAGTTGCATGAATTCTCATAAACCTTTATCATTTCAAGATTTCTTCTTTCTCTAATAATTTGAAGAAGGGCCTCAGCCTCTTGAAGACGAACAAAATTTGTCCAAGTCATTTTTGGCTTTGTATTTTCATACAAAGTCAGCTTCTTGTTTCCAGAAAATGCGAAAAAAATTTATGCACCTTCATTGTAATAAGCTCCCCCTCTACCAATATAGGATTCATTTATTGGGTTTATAATGAAATTGTCCTTAGTAGCCACAGATGCATCAGACCGAATTCCCCCATAATTTCTGAAAATTGGATCCGGTGGAATCCTTATAAACTGACCTTTCTCACAATTCACCCGATATACAACACACATCTTATTTTCTGCCATACAACAAAGAAAGTTCTCTATTTTTGAGTTTGTTGTTTGCATGCATCCAGTCGTGTACTCATTAGAACTTATAGGAAATTGAGCGCATGAGGAAGGAACAGTTGTTCAACATCTTGTTTCTGATATTTCTCAAAAGTGCTATACAGGGAGGCCTAACTATATTATTGTAGCAAAATTACAATTAGTATCAATTTCATAATTAAAATGAATAAAACATCAAATAAGATAAAAAAAATAATATTACCATTGCAATGCCCTTTGTAGGAAGACCTCTAAGCTTACTACTAAATTTCCTAGCTGTTTCAAGAAAGTTGCCATCTTTTACCTTGCCTATAAGAAACAAAAGTATAAATATATATATATTAGTCACCTCTTAGGGTCAGGATCCAAGCCGAATTTTATGACTATGGTTGAGGGTTTAAATCTTGGCGTTGCAAGGGAAGAGAGGGTAAAAATCGAAAAATAAAAAAAATGGAAAGGGGTGAGAGGGTAAATATTGAAAAATAAAAAAGAATATACATATAGTTATATATATTGAGCAATGCTTTATAAATTCCGCCACATAAACCTAAGAAAAAAAAAGAAAAAGAAAATGAAAATCAAAAAATCTAACCAATACTTAGTGTTATGTTAAGAAAGATAAAAAGTGCAATACTATTCATACATTCATCAAAGGTTTGGGCTACAGTAACATTTACAATAAATGACAAGAAGTGATAAACTAAAAAATACAATACTGTTCATACATTCATCAAATGTTCGAGCAGCAGCAACATTTACAATAAGTAAGGTTTGAGCAGCTGCAACATTTACAATAAATGAGATAAAGTGCTCCCTATCTATTCTACTTATATCCAAAATTAAACAAGTATTCCTCAAAATCTAACAAATAATGCCAATAACTATATCAAAATCAAATTGAGACTTGACCCCGCAATAACATTAAAATCCAAAAACATTAAAAAAACTCAAATGATCAACAATCTATATGTATCATTTCTGTTTCAAGCAAAAACTTTTCAAAGATGAATCAAAATGCTTTGAAATAGAAAGACGATTTTCCGATATTTTACTTGGCAATATACTTTTCTTTAAAAATCAAATA